AGCCGGACCCCTCGCAGCTGTGTCAAGCAGCAGCAGAATACCGGTGAAACACGTGCCTGGGCCTTTAAGCTAGTACCTTGGCTGTTAGTATGCTAATTTACACCTAGGAAAAGTTTCGAAAAATGTTTCTGCCGCGCAAAATGTCCACAGATGTGAGAATCTCTTCATCCTTTGTATAAAATAATTTCTGAAACTTCTTGTAAGACTGTTCACTGGCAGAAAATTACTGTCTACTCTGTCTGTATTGTACCATTTAACTTTTTGGCTGGTGTCCTATGAGGTTTTCAAAAAAATTAAATAATAGCTAGACCACTTTCATGAGGTAGTTTTTTTTCGGGAATTAACACTTTATCTGACAATGGGGTCTAGCGATGATGTTCAGCGGCAATACTGAACGCGGTATCGGTATGACACAGTTATAGAAACCCCCTCCCTCTAGTAACATATGTAGTTATGCACAAAATTCCAAGGTAAACTGCATTATCTGTTAACTCTAACGTTTAATGGCCGAACATACGAACAGACCAAAGGGCCCCCGATGTGATCCCCAATTTCCAGTCTCATGGCAGAACTAGTCTCACAAGAGCTGAAGTAGAATCGAAAGCTCAAACGAATAAAATTACCACTCCAGAGATCGCGTCTTCTGCTTCTGTACAACAAGAACCTGGGGCACGCATATTTGCTTCTATTCTAACCTAATCTTAACTACCGCCTTGGCACAATCTCTGACCTTTCTATCATTTGGCGAACTAACTAGGAGTCGTGAGGGTCCTATTCGTGCAGTGTCGCCTCTAATATTCCATACCTATCTTCTGGTATATGAAGTCAAGTTTTCATTCTGTACTTTTCCGTGCATCACACGTGTCATGGCTTTTATTTAGTATCTGTGCTGTTAGTACGGAAAAACCTTTCTATTTAATATACCACTGAGCATCAATGGGCAGCTTGTGAAGATAACAGGAATAGTCCACATCAGTTGGTAGATTTCAGGTCAAATATCCTTTTTAACCTTTGAAACTACCCACAGGTGCCGCGCGGCCCACAATAAGCGAAGTTTTGAACTAGTACCTGCTTTGTCAGCACTCAATTTCGCGCATTTGAGGTCGTGGACTTCTTCACAGGATAGCGTGCACTTTTTGGAGGCGATAAAAGAATGCAGTTGCTTCATGGGGTTTCTAAAGAGACAAGGAGAACAAATAAAACAACAGTCACTAAAAATTAACAATCCTATGCGGGGATATGAACGAGGGAATAGAACAAATATTTACTCCAGTTACTGTTTCAATGAAGTTCATTAACCAAAAGATTATATAACCATTTACGTAAACTGCGCCATGTGCGTACACTGAAGCACAGCGAGGTGAATTGACAAGATTGACCAATCACCGAACAGGAAGACGTAACAGCACCTACATTACTTCCAGCTGTCCCTGCAAGGTGTTCATTAAATTAATAGCACCTGTGTGCCTCTTCTAGTGGGTCCATTGTGCATATCCTGCCTCCATCTCTCCATCGCATGTTTGTGTACTTAGGCTAACACAAAAGTATTTGAATTTTCTATGATTAGTCTTAAAAAAGCAAAAAGTTAATACAGGGTTTTTGTCATCATACATCATATGATACATACATACGCATCTCCCAGCACGCTGCCGACGTGGCGAGCTTTAAGCATACTGTGTAAAAGCCGCGAATTCCCTAGCAAATAGTACATATTAGAAGGTATACAGCCGCAGGTCTGGACGCAAACTCACGCTACGCCGGTCAATCTCTTACAATCCCATCATCAAATGGTTAACAGCTTTAGTAAATGCATTCGTATATGGGAGAGGGAAGAGAGAGAAAGACTAATTTCAACACTGGGAAATCCCTCCCTCCAAGCCTCTTCAGCGCGTACCTCAATGGAGACAATCTAACGCATTTTTAAACAATCACAGCGAGCTAAAGTTGTGCCTTTGAAGGCTGCTAACTGACTGATTAATTAAGCTCCCTCAGGACGGAAATTCGGACTACAACTGTTCCTTCCTAATGTGACCACTATGACACTCCCGTCCCTATGGAGGTCCCAACCACCTCCTCTCTGTTGGAGAACGTAGTCTACTGTACACGGACCAGGCGTGTTTTGCTTTTATAAA